AGTATGTGAAAGAATGTTTAAAAAAATGAATTAATCTGAAATATTAAAGGCAACATGCCTATTAGTGAAAATTTTAAATTTGTTAAAAGTAAAAAGATTTCTTAAAAACTGCAATCGCATATTTTAAAAAATCCCAATCGATTAAAAAAAAATGTCCACAGTAGCATTTAACAACAAACAAACCGTATTATCATATGTAACTGTTTCAATTCCATAATATATACGAATATTTAATGAATATATCTATTTAAAAAGGAATAAAGATAAAAAATAAAGATAACAGTAATAGCTCTTTATAAAAGGAAATATTATAAATACATTCCTGTTCATTTTATTCATTTTATTCATTAATAAAACTTAATAAATAAAATTCTTCAACAATTTAAATTTGAATGTTTTGCGCGGGTTCAGCTAAACCATATGATTTCACTTGATATAACAAAGCTCAGAAATGTTTCAATAAAATATCCGATAACATAAAATCAATTTTAATTTTGTTTCTTCATAAAAGAATATTTAATTAATAAAAACAAAAAGTAGGTTGGATTTGAGCACCATTGACTGAGACGTAAAAGGTGCATGTGACGTCATTCTCGGGCGAGCTCGTCGTTTGGAGCTGGGTTCTGATTGGTTCCGAGCTTATCCGAACAGGTCAATGTCTCAGGATCTAAAATTTTGTTAGTCCAGTGGGTAATGGGTGGTTTTTCCGATTTGCAGTAACCTTGCGCGGTTTTAAAATGGCCTTTTGATTCGTATTTTAGTGAGTGATAATTAGTGTTGAATGGAGAATACCTATATCAAGTGTAGGTTTCGGTTTAGGGACCTTTAAGGCACGGTTTTGTAAGTGACTTAGGCAGGGAGCCCCTGTCCGATTCAGTGTGGAGGCTGTTGGGAAGAAATGTGATAAATCTATGACGTGCGTCAATATTTTTACTATTTATCTACGAAGACAGAAATGAGTGGACGTCCCAGGACTACGTCCTTTGCTGAGGGTAACAAGCAACCTCCAAATCCACCATTACCGGGCATGAGAATAAGTAGTAAGTGCAGTTATTCAACTGAGCTCAAATATGACGTTATTTTATACCAAAGCGAGAAACGATACTGACAATTAAAATTAAATTTTATATTCATTTACCTTTTTGATGAAATATTAATTTGTGTTATTTTGAATCATATATTTTAACAATTATGATTTGTAGTTCTTACCATTAAATATGGAGGTCTCTGCTCCATCTTCTAATCCTAACCTTAATTTCTTGTTTTAAACCTTTTTTTTAATGTTAGTAATGCACCATTGTATAAACCTTTTTATCTAATCTCAGTTCTACATGCCCCATAGTATTTTGCATGAGTAGCAATTATTGTTGTATTGTAATTTAATTATGAAATTTTTAATTTTTAAAAATTACTTATTTGTCAAATTATTGTTCCCTATCGAATATAGTGGTTGTTAGTTGTCTCGTACATCTCTTTTTTGTTGAAAACATGTGTAGAATATTAGTATTGTGCGTTCCCTAACCTTAGTGAAGTGATAACTGTCCTATCTCGCTAGACAAATGGATAACGCAATATTCATGAGTGATTTTTAGTCTACAGCATTTAATTTTTAATATAGTTTAACTGTTTACAAATTTCCATTTTTAGTATCTATCAATTAATAATTGAAATTTGCTTCTGTTGTACTAAAGGAATTTAAAAAAATCATTTTAAAACAGTATTTTGATATCACCAGGTTATCAGCAATTATGGTTATGTCAGATCATGGTATTTTCTTAACATTTTTTCCTCTATATCTTTTACATATTTTTTAATTTGTTAGTTTCATTTCTTTATTATAATAAACATTTATTTTGCTGAGAGGAACATTTTCTATTGATTCGTTAAGCTGAGAATATTGATTTGGTTGTTGCATAGCAAGTCAGATAAACAGCAAAATGTTAGAAATCTTTTTAGAAGTAGAACTAGGATAGAATATCCGTTGTTCAGTAGGTGCTGCGCTCCTGTGGTCTTAATAGGAACTTTGCCTGGTCCTCGCTCGATACAAGTACAAATATTGATTCTTCAAAGAAAAGTGATCAACCTTTTTATTTTGTTCATAGTAAATGTTTCTGTCGTCTCTACTGTTTCTCCTTTTAAACCATCTATACTTTGATTTGTTTTTAACATTGGTTATTAAAACATGATTTGGTTGGAAGTGATTATCACAATTACTTAAAAGGATTCCTAACCTTTCATCTATTTAACCATTATTAAACGTACTTAAATTTATTCTTTAAGTTAAAGGAATTAATTTCTGTTTCTTATATATTAAAAAAGCCTTACAACACGCAATTCTTTGTAGATTTTTTTTACTATATCATTCGTCTGTTAAAACAATTTTGTATATTAAACTTTCTATTTATTTAAATTATGAAATTGGTTACTAATGACTAAATGTATATGTGTCTGGCCATTAATTTAGAAAATCGTCAGGATAAAGATGTAATTCTGCTGAAAATCAGTATTGTTTTAATTTTCCATTCACTTATGTTTGTAATTTTAAGATTTTTTTTTCAAACTTGAGTGGTGGCAGACATCTTAAGATGACAAGAAATTATAGGTTCTTAGTTTGATTACTTATCTTTTTTCTTCAATATTTTATGATATATAGTTTATTTAAATGAATATTATTCCTAATGTTTTTTAATTAAAATGCATAGAGCAAATTTATTAACTTTTTGGGTTGAATGAGGTAATACTTCTCATTTTGTTAGTTATTTATCACATGAATTATATTAGTTTTATTTAGTGGAATATTTAGCTACTTTCTCTTCCAATCCAATTAAAATAGTTTAATGAATTTTATTTAGGGCATAATTTATTTATCTTCCCTATCTGATTCTTTCAAAATATTACATTAAATTTTATTAGTTTTAATTACGGTCTAACTTATCTACGTTCCACATAATCTCGAAAAAATAATATATTTAAGAGATGTTTTTTTTTTAACAATATATGAATTTTAGCAGATTATAAATGTTGATATTTTCTCGTAATTTCTTTTTATACATAAATATTCAGTTGAGTGAATGTGATGGTAATAGGCTTTTAATAGATTTCATAAATAATTTTAATTAGTCGATAAATGTAGTCTTGTTTTATCCAATTAGCCAGGTAAATGTGAAAAGTTTTGTGAATTTATCTTTGGAATACAATTAAAATAAAATAATTAATGGGTGGTATAAAAGTCTGTAAATACTCAATTATTTTTTGTGTCATTGCAAGCCTTTCAAAAAGTCTATGTATCCACTTAACAGTGTACACTATTGTAATTTCCAAGATATACATTTTTTTGTTTTGTTCCTTATTACTTATCAACTTTAAATTCAGCAAGTAATTAATGATCATGAATCTGATTGAATAACCATTCATAATGACTAAATAATTTCCTGTTAGTTATTGTAATATTTATTTATAATTGGTAATTGGTTGACTGTCCTGGATAATGAGGAGAAGAATAGTTGGGGTGCTCAGTCAAAAAGTTTTTTGACTGAGCACCCTAACTATTCTTCTCTTCATTCTGTAATTTTTATTGTTTATACTTATACAGTATTACTTACTTACTGTTTGTCATTATATTTACATTATTATTGTTATAGTTTCATACCTAGTGGTTTATAGATTATGTATTTAAGTTGTGTAATTTAACGTTAATAAAATTTAAAAGCAGTTTTGGTAATGATTAATGGTCACGATAAATTTTTTTTTAATGAATGTGATAAAATTTATTAAACAGTAATTTTGAATCCATTCTCAACACCATTTTTATTTGTTCGTGTGTTTTTATCATGATATATGACAAATATCTAAATAATTAATAAGCTATAAAAAGAATATATAAAAACAAAATTTAATAGATACTCTTAAATATTTTGCGGTTATGTTTTCTGCTTGGTTATCAAGGTTATTTCAATATATTGCTAGTTTCTGGTTTTTAAAGTGATAATTATCCTTTAATTTTTGTTTTTTTGTTAAAAGTTACCATTATTATTTAAAAAGATTTAAGAAATATTGGTTTTAATCTTTATGAATGATTGGTATAAAGTCTTTATGAACCTCAAGAGGAGGTTCTTTTGATTTCATTCGATATTTATATGGATATTATCACAATATTGATTTTTTTTTTTTAAGTTGGTCTATATTATAACTTAAAACATAAATATTTTATTTTTTTATTTATTTTGGTTTAATAGGCGAACAACCTCTGTGGTTATCATCGCCCGTTTTCTTGAATGCATAAATGTTTTACTTTGGGATATGAACAATTGTTTCTTTGTCGCACTGCACCTCTGGTGCAATCGTTTATTGTAGATAAATAATCAGTATAGGAAACAGGGCATGAGGTTAATTTACTGCGGTGTATTGTCTTTGGTTGGCGGCGCATGCGCTTTTTAGACATCGAGCAGAGTTCTCTGTAAACGTTTTATTTCGTTAATTCAACTTTTGAATCCTAATGCCTTCGAACATTATGTTTTAATTTTAGCATTGAAGTTAAGTTGGTTTAATAGAAAATGTAATGGAAATTGTATTTGGAAATTGTTATGATTGATTGTGTAGATAAATTAAGAAGGTTTAGATCAAAATGCATACTGTTTATTTCCTTTTTTTATTAAAAAATGGAATATGGATCTGGACAAAAATATGGACGTAATTAATACATAATATATAACAAATACTTAAAAACTAAGAGTTCTTCCTATCTTGACTTCTTAGTCGTAAAGGGAACTATGATATGCAACTATTTTGTGTACTGTATTTTTAGATGTATACCTAATTTTCCGTGGATATTAAGAGTACGTTATTTATTATCATGAATTTTACTTCGGTCTTTTTTTTTCTACACCGCATTTATATTTGTACTAATGCCAGTTTACTGAACCAAACGTATATAGATAGCGATAGGTAGATATACTTATTAATTGGGCTATCTTATCTTAGCAGGTAGGGTATGATAAGGTAAAGAAAGTGTCAATCGGTATTGTGAATGACTCGTAAAGACTTTCGATTGTTTCTTCTTCGCTGTTTAGAATTGCTGTGGTGTACAGGTAGTAGTAGGAAAGATAGCTTACAGTCTGTGGTAAATTGTACAGGGTTTTGGTATAATTTATTAGTATTTATATGAAATACAGCTTTGCTATATCGTTTAGAAACCTTTCTATTCCATATTTTTATTTTGAATGTTATTTGTATTAGATTATGTTACCCATTTAATGTTTTATTTTTTAAATTTTAGGTTATAAATTCTGAAATAAGTCAATGCATTAAGTTAGTTGAAAACTATCAACATAGTTACGAGTGTTAGGCTCAATTACAGCTTCGTCTATTTCGGGAAAGGGGGAGAAATTAAATTTCATGATTTGAATTTTATATAAGAAAAATATATTTTTACGTTTTGAAAATTAGCCATACTTGATTACCTATCAGTTAATCTGAAGGTATTTATTGGCGTATTCGTTTACATCTGTCATGTATTGGTCAATTAGATTTTAGGTTTTGGATTTCCTTAAATATCCTGCAGATGTTTTATGTTTAATTTGAATAACTAATATTTTGCTGGAAGCAATTTAGTTGCATTCCCCCCAATTTAGCTCAAAAATTATTTTAACAAAGATAAAAGGTAAATTAATCTTTCGAAAATGCTATTGAGCTGGTTGCTTTAATGGTATTTGATGGTAGAAGTAGCTATCATGTCTCACCGATTGGGTTTACTAACCTTAAACTAATCTCCTCATAGGTGTCGATTAAATAAATTAGAGATAAAAGTTCTGTATTTCCTTTTATCAAATCGGCTTTGTTGACTTAATGATTATATTTAAAGAATTGTATCATTCCCAATTTTAATGACATAAGTAGTTCCCTTATATTGTTATGAATTCTGAATACTTTTGTTATTAATGATGATAGGCAGTAACTGGTAAGATGGGGTTCCTGTTTCCTGCTGTTCGGGCCTCCCTTGATATGTAAAATACTTATCAGCCTCTGTAATGATAATTACGTAACTGGAACAATTTCGGTGATTATAGTTTCAACATTTAGTTTGCGTTGTCTAATCGCCAAGATTGACTTGAACAAATATTAATAGTTTAACAACCTAAAGGGCAGATAAACACACAGTGATAACAAATTTGAAGATTTGTTTAGAAAACTTCTGTTGTACTTGGCATTGTTGGAATGGAATTTTCAATTCTATAAAATATTATACATTCTATTTAACACGTTGAATTTATTCGTTTTCTTAATGCCACTAATTTATTTTTCATTTTAATGATTTTCTTTAGATATGTTTTTTTTTATTTGCCGAATATTGACTTCTGCCTAAGAGATATCGAGCAAATAAACTGTAAAAAGACTTTATCTAATCTGAATTCTCCTTACTATTTGGATTACTAAATCTCTCAGAGATAAAAATATTAGCGCTTGTTCCTTTCTTATAACAAATTATGAACATATATACATTTTTTTCTACTAAAAGAAGGAAATATAGCTGATGAACGCTACACCTGCTGGTGTGGGCGTATCCCTCCCCCGTGGAATGAGGTCACAGATTTGACCCCCTAGCTTCGGTCCCTCTGCCGTAGCTCCCGTTGGTCAGACAATTTAGATTACTGTGGCATCTGCAATCCCTCATTATTTTATTTATTTTATCGATTAATTAGAAAATTAGTTATTGTATCTTCACTATTTTATTGTTGATAATTATCGATCCTGCCTAAATATATATAAATAAATGTTATGCCGTATTATGTAATGCTATAGTATGGCATCAAAAGTATGCAGTATAATTGGCAACCAATCTAATAATAAAATAAGGTAATAAACAAAATGTTGAGCCATAAAAACATTTATGAAAAATTTCAATAAATAAATTATTTCACTATTTACGTTTCTTATATTTCCGATTTTTTGTTATTTTAACTTCTAATATCGACTTCCCTTATAGAAAACTCCAAGATATGTTACAGTTTAAGTTTTAAAATTAAATGATAATTTTAATGCAAAAGGTTTGCATATATGTTTTTTTTCATATGAGATCTTAGTTGTAGACATTTTATTTATTTATTTATTATTGATGGACTCAATCACTTAATTTAAAAAAAAAAATCCAAATTCTTGAAATTTTGGCATGAGGATTTGTCAGTCAAACTATTCAAAATGTTTTTAGATGTTCTCACTAATCTTTACTTCTTTTTTTTCCCGAGAAGTACTTCCACATCACGTTTCCATTCAAAATAAAACTGTACTTCGAAACCTAAATTAATTATTATGGTTTTTATAATTGAATACTTTTACTTTATTTACAATAAAATATGATTTTAACATTCGATGTATAATTGGTAAAAACTATGACAGTAAAAATATATTTTGAATCAGTATGTATTGTAATATAATTGATTGTGTATTTAATTCTATTTCCAATAATAAAACACTTTTTAAAAAGATTTTCCCGTATTTCTATTGCCAGTAATTAAAATGAACCAAAACTAAAAAACGAATAATTTAAATCTATTGGGGGAAAAAAATGTTTATCCCGAAGGATATGAGTGTTATGAGAAAAGACCGATTTCTTGAATTTTATCACAATGTATGAATTTAAATATCACTAATGTTGTTTTTAATGATAACAACATTTTTGTTAATCTTTTTTACCTACTGTTATTGTTATTGCATTGGAGTATTATTTGTTGAAATTCATAACTGAGTATTTTGAATATTTATTTTGGGTTGATGAATTAAAATTATGATTCATAGTGTGGCCATAGGTCTGAACGTTATCGTTTCTTGTTATACGTCATTCCTTGAAGTTTTTTAATTTTAAATTTTTTTCTGTTTTTATTATTACTTTTTAAAAATTATTTTTGAAATTTAAAGTGAGGCGTGATTATTATATATGTTTTGGCAAATAATTACCTTTGATTAGGATAAAAGAGAAATGGAAAAAATCTTCACTTGGTGTACTTTCTTATGAACAAAATCTACATTCGCTAAGCGTTTTGAAATATTAAGAATTTATTATCTTAAAACATTAAAGAACAAGGAAATTTTAAAGCCGAGATTCTGAGAAGTGTAAAAAATACTAGAACCTTGTAGTTTAATTTATCCCACCTCACGATACTCGAACTCTTGTAAGAATTGCAGTGTTGAATTGATTTTTTAAAAGAAAATTTCTAATTATATGGTTTCTCGACGGGATTTTATTGCCTATGGAACTGAAAATTTTCATAAAAAAAACTTATAAATATTAAAATTCAAGAATATAAATTTGTTTTTCCCTATGTCACCAATTTGTTGATTTTTAAAACAGTTAAAAATAAATAAGAAATTTATATTGCCGATGAATCAACTTAATTACCTAAAATGTTATATGTGTTGTGGACGAAACTAAAATAGGAATAATTATTTCTGGACTATTTTAAGTAATTTAGAAACTGGGTTTGTAAATGAGGTTCGAGCTTTAAGTCGAAAATAAGTCTTAAAAAACTTTTCCACCTTACTTTTATGAAAGTAGTAATGGTTTTGTAAAAATAGAAAATTTTTCAAATTAAAACCAATAATTGAATTCTAAAGATTTGTTTATAAGATTTATCCAGGAGTGTAAAAATTGAAAACTGGGTGGCAACCAGTCGGAAGGTTTCCGAATATAACGGGAAATTTTTGCAGTTGGTAATAAGGGATTTCTTAGTAAATTATGCTACGATTGAGTCAGCCAAGTCTTCACTAGTCCTTAACTTTTGCATCTGCCTTGAATTTTTATTAGCCTTGGTATTGTTGTCCGTTTTTCGAATTAACTTTATTAATTATCCGTTATTCATTATTTGTTATCCCATTGTACTAAATTTTGAAAAATATTACTCGAAATTATGAAAAATTACTTTCTATATTGTAAATAATTATTGGACTGCTTCCCGTGTAGTTTGTAAAATCTGATACAAGGAAATTTTAGACTTTTCTACTTATGAGATAAATTCAACGAAGATAATTGAAACGATGAAAAATTTAAAAATTGACGTATTCCGTCATCTATTGTGTTTCTCATTATAAGCTGCTAAAATTTGTTTAAAACAGCAGTGAGCATAAAAAATATAGAAAAAAAGCAACTTATTCGATGATGTCATGATGTTTAATATCATACTATTTTTTGTTTTTAATTTTCAAGATTAAGCTGTCATTTATGATCACCACTATCACTTATGATTATGATGTCATTACCCATCGATTTTAAGTAAATTTCAGTTTTCTTTTCTTTTTAAGCTTTTTTTTAATCCTTGCAGTTGAAATTGTAATTTAACCTCAATTTTTTTCTTTCTATATGTACATTTTTTTTAGAAATAATATAGTATACTTGTAGCTATAATACACGAGTGATTGAAGAATTTGATCTATAAATTTCATTTAATTTGCGGTCAGACAGAATAATAATGCATACTCAGTAGTGTTCATAATAAGCACTTATAATTTCTGTTTGTTTCCTAATTAACTTTTTGAACTCGGCAAAGTTTCGGACTTTACCTACCAGCAACTCGACGCACAGTGGTCCCAAATTAGATTTTTTTAAAGTCATAATTCTATAACTCCGTTAGTTTTTATTAGATTTCTATGCTTATTCGTTTTATAGCATCACCACTAAATATTCTGCGATAAATTGCAGGGTTATTACACCCGTTAAGGTATTATAACTTATGTTTTTTTTTAATCTTAATAAGTTTGATTGGTTTCAAATTTGGTTCATTCAACTGAAAAAATAATTTCTCGAAAACTAATTTTTTTATTTTGATAATATTGTATATTTCAGAAAATGACATTGTTAGACTTTTCGGGAGCAAATATCATCCATCTTTATATTTTTATCATATTTTGATCTGTTTTTTTGTGTCATTTTAATAGAAAACTACATGAAAAAAATGTGTGTCTTAAACAATTGGTGTGGAATAAGTCAATTCTCCGTAAACACTGATAAATTTTCATGTCCCCTCAGAGGGGACAACCGAATTCAGAGGGTTATAAAACAAGAATTGGAATTCAACTGATGCACGACAATACAAGAAAT